GGGCATGCGTGCGGGGCGAGGCGGCATGATACCGCGAGGTTGGTTGCCCTGCTGCAGAGTAACCCTGGGTAACCCTAAACCCTGCGGCCAGGACGATAAGCGCTGCAGATGACCGCCGCATCCTGCTGCTTCGTGCGCCCCTTGTGGGTATCCGTTACACCGCAAAGCACACCGCGCCAGCAGCAGCAGCAGCCCCGCTCACGTCGGGGTCGTCGCAGCGCACGCGCAGCACGAGGCCCACGCCCGGGTACATGGCCGCCACCTGCGACGCGGCAAGGCGACGCGGGGAGGGCGTGTGGGGGGCCGCAGCGTGGCGCCGGTCGTGGTCTCTGCGCTGTCACCCCGCCTCCAGCGCAACTTCGCGCGTGCTTAGTGATGGCGGCGCGAGTCCGGGCACGCAAAGCAACACCGCCCGGACGCCGCTGTGGATCAGCGACACCCCAAAAACAGTTCCGGGCAGCAGTGACTGCACCCCCCCTCCCAAAAAAAGAGAGGGCCCCACCTTGCCGAGCTCGCCCTCCGTGTCAAACGTCGTCAGCTGCACCCCAGCCCCCGCCGCAAACCGCAGGTCTGCGGGCCGCTTGCAGGGGTGCGCAAAGATGACGCGGTCCTGCGGCACCCCCAGCGCCGCGACCGCCTCCAGCTCCGCCTTGGACGCGCAGTCGAAGCCGGCGCCGAGCGCGGCCAGCAGGCGCAGCAGCGCCGGCTCGGGGTTGCACTTGACGGCGTAGAAGGGCGCCACTCGCGGCATGGCGGCGCGCCAGGCCTTGAAGAGGCGCAGCGTGTTGCCCAGGTCGTACACGTACGTGGTGTCGTCCAGGGCGTTGGCCTTTGGGGGGGGGTCATGGTGTGTGTGTGTGTGTGTGTGTGCGTGTGTGTGTGTGTGTGTGTGTGTGTGTGTGTGTGTGTGTGTGCGTGTGTGTGTGCGTGCGTGCGTGCAACGGAGCTGTTGGATCAGGAGTGTTACGCGGCACCACTCCGGCCCCGCTCTCCGCCCTGCCCTGGCCTGGCCTGCACGCCCTGCTTTATCACGCCCCTCAACACGTCCCTCCCTCATGCCCCACCCCCGCAATGCCTCGCATCCTGCCGCACTACCGTACTCTGCTCAGCCACGCCCCGCCCCGGTCATACCCCCCCCCTGGTCACCTTGATGAGGCCGGCCGCGACGCGCTTCATGCCTTCGGGCCCGCCGTGCGGCACACGGCGCACGTGAAGGTCCGCCAGCACAGCCGCCGCCGACACAGAGCCCGTCGCCTGCGCGCAGGAGCAAGGGGGCGCCCGAGCGGCGGCGGCATGGGTCAAGGCTGGCGGCGACTGCTGCAGGCGCATGCGACACGACGCAGCCCTCGACGCGCCGTATACCCCGCGACCGAGCCGCACCGAGCCGCTGCCAGGCTTCACGACCCGTTGCCGGGGTCTGTGATCATCACAGCAATGCCCGCAATGCCGCTGGTCGCGCCTCGCCGCCCCGTACTTTCCGTCTCCTTTGCTTCACGCGCACCTTGTACTGCCAGCTTTTCTTCACAAAGTCTGTCGCGGCGCGCACCTTGGCGGCCCGCACAGGGTCCACCCCTGCCACGCCGCCGTCGTCCTCTTCGCCATCGGGGTCGCCGCGGGGGCGGCCGGCCGCGTGGCCGGGGGACAGCGGGCTGGTCGCGGTGCCGCTGCTGCGGGCCGGCGCCCTGTGGGCCGCGAGCAGCTCGTCGAGGCTGCCTGAGCACAGGCTGTCGAGCGCAGTCACGTCCAGGCTGGCCGCGGGGCCCATGGGGCGCGGCGACAGCACCCCGATGGACGCCATCTGAGCTGCCCGGTCTTCAAGCCGCGTATGCCGGGTCAAAGCCTGGGTGCCTGCGGAGAGCAACGCGTGGCAATCGGCATGAAGAAGCCTGGCAAAACACTGCTGGTGCGTCACGCATGCCAAGGCTTCAAGAGGGCGGGTGTGCCAGGGCCGCGCCCCTGCGGCGCACACGCGGCATCGGCCCAGGACGTGTTGGAATGTGCGGATGTGCCAGGGAGCTGCGCGGCGGCTCGCGCGACCAAGCTGCAGGGCGCGCTGCCGGCACTGCGAACATGTTGCATCCCAGGTGCCAGGCCACCGGCCTCAACGCTGGCCTCAAATAAGCCGCGAATCCCGGGCTGCAGCATCGTCCGGTTTGAGGATGAACGGCGTTTCTCAACCGCTGGTCGCCGAGAGGCCCACGCAGCGCCCGGAAGCAGGCCACATGGCCCTCCACACTCCCGCACAGGCTGCCTGGGCGCCCAGGGGGCTGCTGTGAAGGTCAAGGAGTCATTGACGGGTGCCGCACCTGAGCTCCGAGCTGCTGGAGCTGCACACGCACGCCCCCTCAAGCCGAGAAGGTCCGTACAGGCCCCTTGTTAAGCCTGAGCAGCTGCGCTGTGGGTGAAGAGCGAGGATGGTCGAGCTGTGGTGCTGGGCGGGAGGACAACAGAGCTGAATGCGCGTGCGTGGATGGTATGGGGCAATGAAGGGCAACGGATTGGATTTTCAACGCCTATGCTGGAGTTCCAAGCCCTGACGTATCGCTGCTTTGCAAGGCATACCGTAGCTGCTCAGCAGCGAAGGTGGCCGGAGGGTGCTGGAGGTGGCCATGCATCCAGCCCGACATCTTTGATATGACAGTATTGCTCACATCGCAAGCTACGCGCACGCTGTGTTCCTAGATCAGTTCCACACAATCAACCTGATCCAGGATGGCGGAGAACGACACCCCGCTAAAGCGGGGCAACGCTCTGCTGGCCGAGGGCGATCACGAGAAGGCCCTGCAGGTCTTCCAAGAGGTGAGCGGGGGTGCGGGCAGGCAAGCCAGGGAGGACGATGCTTCTCGTGCACAGTCTTGCCGGGTCTTCATCCCGCTGTCACGGGCGGCCCGCTGTGGTCACGTCCGGGTATGATTGGAAGTATGGGAAAGTATTTGTGGCATACGTGCTCTTCATAGGCCGTGCTCAGCTCTAAGAAACACAGGTGCTGACGGAGACCGGGTGCCGCTGTGCGCGCTGCTCGCACCGCCCGCCTTCCTGCCTGTTTTGCGTCATGCAACAGCTCGCAGGACTCCCCCTTCCTGAAAATCCACCCACATGCATTCATGCCTGTGGTTGTTGATGTGGCTGGCTGTCTGTCCGTCCAAGCTGCCCGGCCAGCGACCGGTGCGGACCCACTGCACACCGCCATCATCCCGCTGCACCTTCCAGGCCCTGCAATCTGATCCCTCCGCGGACGCGCACGAGGCCCTGGCGCGCGCCTATATCAAGGGGGAGCGATACCTGGAGGCAGCAGAGGCGGCGCTCAAGGCCATCACCGTCGATGCCGGCCTCGCCAAGGCCTACCTGCGGCGCGGGTAAGCGGATCACGTAAAGCATGCATGGCGCTGCACGGCCCGGTTTGCTATGTATAAGGCAATCATGGTTGGGTTCAAATCAGCAGCAGCGGCAGCGGCAGCAGCACTGGAAACAGACGCAGGAGCAGGAGCAAAAGCAGGAGCAGGAGCAGGAACAGGAGCAGAAGCAGGAGCAAAAGCAGGAGCAGGAGCAGGAGCAAAAGCAGGAGCAGGAGCAGGGGCAGGGGCAGGGGCAGGGGCAGAAGCAGAAGCAGAGCTGGATGAAGGGCGCTGGATGCAGTTGGCTCTTGATTTGTTCGGTCCGTCATGCGTCTACAGCGAGGGCCGCCGCAGGCCGTGGAGCCTGTCTTCCCCTGACACATGCTCGATCACGTGTGCGCAACACATGCTGCCCTCCCCCACCCCAGCATCGCTCTGTTCCACCTGGACGAGTTTGAGACCGCACTGGAGGCGTTCGAGAAGGTGCGCGCGCAATTGGGTGTGGGCGTGTATACGTGTGTGTGCCGGTGCACATGCAGATGCGAGCGCACACATCTTCATGTATGTGTCGTTTGCGTCGAGAGTGTGAGCGTGTGCGCATGCACACGCGCGCTTGTCTTGACATCTTGTTGCTGTGCGGATAAAGTTGTTGCTGCGTGGTTGGAGAAAACAAAAGAGAGACAGAGACTGTGCACGCGCAACCAGAGTGACTGTGCATGCGCGTGGAGCATGCTTGTGGAGCGTGCGTGCGCGCAACACACGTATGTGTGCACACGTGTGTGCACGCGCATGTGAGGGTGTGAGTGTGGGGCCGGGGAGGGGGGCACCACCGCACTTGTTCGGTTGAGTGTCACATGTATGAGTAGCGCTGTCAAGCACAGATGTGATGCAATCTTGGAAAAGCAGCCGCCATCCAGCAGCTGATGAGGCTGAACACCCTCAACCCGTAGGGCAAGGAGCTGCGGCCGACGCTGGCGGCGTTTGACACATGGATCCGCAAGTGCAGGGCAGAGATAGACGGTGGGCTGGGATGGGCCGTCTGTGAGGCATCACGGTCCAGCTGGCGGCAGGCCTGTGGCTTGCAGGCCTTTGCTTGTGTGTTCGGGCGAGCCTGGGATGTCGAACATGCTTCCTGCTCGCCTTGTGCATCCGCACCTGTCTCAAGGCCCGGCTGCCTCATTGGCCTGATTCTCGCCACGCGTCCCCTCCTTGCCCCTTTCTTGTCGCCACTGCGCGCCCTGGCCGCTGCTGCAGGCGAGGTGGAGGAGATCGAGCCGCCCAAGGAGCCGGAGCGCCCGCCCGGCGGCCCCAAGATCACATTCCTGCCCCCACGAGAGGACCCGCCGTCGCCGCCCTCGCCCGCGTCCCCCGCCGCGGGCGCGGAGCCGACGCCGTTCTACAAGCCCAGGGCCGCGGCAGCCAAGCAGCAGCAGCAGCAGGGCGCGGCGGGGCCGGTGGCGCCGTCGGGCAACGTGCCGATCCCCAACAAGATCAGGTGCGCTGGGCGACAGCGTGAGGGGGTTTCCCTCGGGTTGCAACGGAGTGTTGGCCCTCGATGCGCGTCCAAGCAAGGTGATGCGTTTTATGCAACCACACGGCGCGTTGGAAGCCCGCACCCCCAATATGATGGCGCCGCGGGCGACGTCGTGGCCACGCATTTGATTGCCGGCACGGTGCTTGAACGCGGTGGCTTCACTTCGTGCTTGCAGCGCGCTCTCCAAACCCTCAAAGGCACCCACCGCACCTCACCCCGCTCACTGCACTGCACTGCACTGCACTGTGCCGCGCCTCACCCCGCCCCTCAACGTATCCCCCAGGCACGAGTACTATCAGGTGGGGGCCGACAAGCTCGTGGTGGACGTCTTCGCAAAGGCCCTCACGCAGGAGCGCTTCCAGGCCGAATTCCAGGAGCGCCGCCTGCGCCTCGCAGTCCTGCCCGCAGCCGCAGCGGAGGGCGCCGCGGCAGCGGCGGAGGCGGCAGCGGCGGGATCTGAGGCGGGCGGCGGCGGGCAGGGCCCCGAGTGGGAGCTGGACATCGAGCTGTTTGGGGCTGTGGACGTTTCGACCTGCAAGTTTGAGATCCTGCGCACCAAGGTGGAGGTCACGCTGCGCAAGGCGGAGCCCGGCAAGACGTGGCCGACACTGGAGAAGAGCGACCGCCCCGCGCTGCCCTCCTTCGCGCCGCCGCCGCCGCC